TTGTTGCTCGCTATTTTTAACAAATACGATTTTGTTGCTCCACCCTTGATTCTCAAAAACCACCCTTAGCTTATCTTACATCAGCACAACGCCTTAAAATCATAAATTAAACAGTTTCCCGAATTGATTACGTATCCCTGATTTTGTGGCTCGCTATTTTTAACAAATTCGGATTTATTGCTACATCTTGTTTTTATAAAATTTGCATTTTTATCATATTTTAGCTGATAACAATTTTGTTGTATAATAATTTTGTTATATGTACATTATGTTTTAAACATATTTTTGTATTCTAATATAAAATTTATTAAGTGTAATATTTTTCGTTAAATTACTTTTTTGCGTGTAATAAGATAGTATAAATTATTTAATTTTTTTTAAGGACAATGCAATAAATAAATCATATGTAACTAATAAGTAAGTTGTTCTGTTTTTTATATAATGTATAATTTATTTAATTATTGATGTACATAAGAATATGTGGATGTACTTGTTTGGTTTTCTTTATTTTTTTTTTCTGCTACTTGCAAATCATTATATTCTATCCAGTTTTCGGATCGCCGAGTTATTGCAGTGTAATGTCCGGTACATTTGTCAGTATCGGATCCTCGAGTCAGCATCGGTGGTTTTTTATAATCCACAATCCCTATCAATTTTAAATCATTTTCTTGATTTAGGGGATTTTTAATAGTGTTTGGTATGTCTTGTAATTTTATTGGTTCAGTTTTAGTGCCGAAATTACAGACATCAAATAACACTATGGATCCTGAAAAAGATTTGAGAAATATGTTAAAATACGTGAGAGTATGTGTTTATGAAAATAAGTACTTAACTCTTAACTTTTAAAATAATAACATAGTTTTATTTACCTATTTTGTGAAGTGATGTTGTTTCAAAACCTGGACAATTTTTTCGATAACATTTTTTTTTTCCTAATAATATAATGTGTTCATTTACAACATTATAAAAATTATCTTCTAGTATAATTTTTGAATCAATTTGTGCTACTGGTAATATTTTTTTTCGTGGTGGACATCCCATGTCGCAAATTGATTCCTCTTCGAAACTTGGTGTATTTTTAAAAAATAAACCAGCCAAATGTCCAACATTAGTTTCGCAATTAATTTGCACACAAGATTCTATTATTGGGTCCATTATTTGATCTTCCTTTAGAAAAATGGCCTTTAAAATTTGTGCTCGAAGTTTATATGTGTGGGCTCTAATACCCTTAGCCAAAATGTCATTTGCCATTTCAAATAATGGATTCTCTGTTGCACGTATCTATGTGATTAAAAAAAAAGTTATATTACCTATGTGTGTATATGTATATATTTATTTTTTATGTAAAATTAATTAATCGTGTCCAAATATAATATTGCAATTGGAAATATATCTTAAGTATTATAATATAAGATTGCCAACGTTGTATTAAATAATTAAAATGTAAAAAATTAAAATCTTTGAATTGTAAATTTGAATACTTTTAATCTAATTTTATACTTCAAAAACTATTTTATAACAATTATGGTATAGAAGTAGATCGTCAGTGTAGAATTAATACAATTTTTTATTTTTTTAAATTCGTCCCAACTGACTATAAAATTTTGTTAAATCTAACACAACGTTTCGACCACAGATTTTGGTCCTTCTCAAGTGTTATAAGTTTTTAATTTCTTTTACATAACATTATAAAATTTTTAATACACCGACCTAGAGAAGCGTCAACTCATGTCATGTATGTGTCAAATCATGTCTATAACGTGACTAAGTTCAAATATATGTAACATACAATATGATTAAATCACAACCGACAAGATCTATTTCTATGTAAAAGAAATTAAAAGCTTCTAACACTTAAGAAGGACCAAAATGTATGGTCAAAACGTTGTGTAAGATCTAACAAAATTTATCAGTCAGTTTGGTCAAATTTAAAAAATAAAAAATTATTTTATAATAATTATACACTTAAACATTATTTAAAATTATATTTAAAAATATTTAAAATTATACTTATTAATATTATACTTAAAACTGTTATACTTAAAAATATTTAAATTTTGACTTGGAAGAAAAAAAATAATATACCTTGTCTGCAAAATGTTTGTAGTCTGACAGTATTACAAGTAAAATTTGTAAAAGGCTGTCAAAGGCACAAGTATTCGTCAAAGAATAATTTGTGCCTTCTAGACAAACTGCTTGAAGTTTCATGGTATTCCCGTTTTTAATAATAGGTAATTTTGTGCTTTTACTCCATGTTAAAGAATCTTGTATGTTGTGTTTATTTTGGCCTAAATATCTTGCTGTACGTTTCTTTTTTTCATCATTTAATCCTCGCCAGTTTTCTGTTTTTTGCATAGCAAGAACTTCTTCCGAGTTTTTCAATACGGAACACGATACGCAAATACGTTTTTGTCCGTATCCTTCTTCTTTATCGTAAGCTACCGAGCATTCTTTTATTGCATGTACTGGTATTTTACAAATTACACAAATGTGTGCACCAGTCGGCATGTCGTTGTTGTTGCAAGCTGGACATTTCGTAGCTTCTTGTATATTGGTTTCAACACTTTCTATTTCCTCTGTTTCGTTGATACATGAATCTATATCATTTTCATTCTTTGAAAACAAATTTTCTTCTGACAATGAGTCCACAATTTTCAGTTTGCCATGTAAAAAATCTAAATGAATTTTTAAAAATTCGTCTACTCTAATGGGCAAAGTATAATTTTTTAAAACATTATTTTTCAAATTATTGAATTCGCCCTCGACTGCTGCGCTGGACGCTGGTATTCGTCCATATCCAAACTCATCACGGCAAACACATGACCACAAGGGAAATACATTTACATCCTTTAAGAGCTGTTGTGCTAAAAGTGGGAAATATTGCGCGTTGTCACGATCGCCAATTTGTTTTACATTATTTTCCACTTCTTTATAAATTTGTGCGCCCCATTCAGACCATTCATTATCTTCATTTTCACTCAAGTCATCAAAATTTAGATTTGTTTCCTCCAAATTTTCATTATTTTCATAATTTGACATATCTATAACATATTAGCAAACGCATGTAATTTTTAAATATACGGAAAAAATGTCTTTTTTTTTTAATTTAAATAAATAAAATATAAATTGCAATTAAATAAATTAAAAATATTTGCATATTTTATATTCTGTGTTAATAGACGTTACGATATAAATTATAATATAAATGAACTTTTGCAACACTTTTGAGATAAATTGATTTTTTTAATATAAATGTATTTATATTAAAGAGTATATATATATATATATATATATATATATATGTATTTATTTTTTATTTAAAAAATCATTTTTTATTGAAAAATCAAATCAATATTTTTTTTCTAAATCAAATCATCTTAGAAATGTTGCAAAAGTTTACATATATAATTTTATATTTAAATATACAGAATGTTTCGAATTTCCTTAAATCTTTTATAGTAATTTAACAAAACTAAAAATTAATATTGTTATTGAAATAACAAAAAACTTACCAGTTATAATAGATTTTAATTTATTTTTTTCTTTTTCGCAGCAAGTTTCTTCACCACTTGCTAATTTACCTTCCGTTTCGCATCGTGCAATTGTTAATATGGCTTTCAACATTGTACTAGCTTCATCTATATTGCGACACATAATTAGTTGACCGATCGCAGCCATATAAAAAATTTTAATTCTTCGTGGAATGTTTTTTAAAAAATTTGCGTATATTTTTATGAAGTGCGCAACATCTATACGGATATAGCATTGTGGTATAGATTTATTTTTGCACGCATTTGCATAATCTTTTATTGTCGTGAAAGGTGTAAAGCATCGTATAACAGCATTTAATAATGCTAAAGAATAATCCACGACAACTTCCTGCGGATAAGGAGCACCCATTCTACACCATTCCAGTAACCAGAAGTGGATATTGTTGGTTGTGTGCCTTTCGGATAACATTTGTGTTACCGGAAATTGTTTGTCATTGTAATGTATAACTATATGATATAAAAAGATGTGGTTCGATAAAATTTTATCTGGTCTCATTAATTTTTTTACAATGCTACCTGTAGCATCGATATATATTGTACTTATATTTTTTAAGCAATATTTTCGATATACTTGTAGCTGGTGGTTAGTCCAATAATGAATGAAAAACGGATCTATGCCAATATTATGAATGCAATTAGTATAAGCGCTATATTTCATGATACATAAGGCTCTTATCGGATCGGCGTCAAAAAATTGCGATTTTCTGTACTCATTTTTTGCCACGTGCAATATTGTCGATTTGTGCAAATGCGGAGGTTCCGGATCTCCGTGTTCCATAAGTTTATTGGCTTTTTCAGCACGATATACTTCTATTGGTTTAATATTTAATTCTTTTCCAAGAATCGTTCTCAGTGGTTTTCTTAAATATCGTTTACCACATTTTCCAGTGCCTTTAAATATGTTACATTTTAAAAGCACAACTTCTGTATTGCGGTCTTCCGTTATGTCACATCGCAGATTACTACCACATTTGCAAGTACCTGAATAAAAAATTATTATTTTTTATGTAATTAACATTAAAAACAAACTTTTTTATCTTATCTGCAATTTTATATAATTATATATTATATAAAATAAATAAATAA